CAATAGAGTCTAATAACTCCTCGATTTCAGGTTGATCGGCCAACCTGAATCTTATGACTTCTGACTTGTAAGCTGCGTTCAGCATTTAACTTTCATAATCTTTGGGATTGCATACTGATAATATATGCCATAGAAAGTGTCTGTTCAAAGGGGCCTTGCGGACTTCGAGAACGACGAAATCCGCTTCTGATCTTGTACCTCTGCATATTTGGTGCGTCTTATTGCCTCTGTACATCTACTACCATTTGGTTAGCTGACATTGACCAGTTCCAAAGATAAAAAGTAAGCTGTGGCCTAATTTTTGTCCTTGACAGAGCCTAGGCCGGCTAGCCAACTCAAGGGTCTTAGGGCTCTCAGGACTCCGTCCGGCTTGGTTGCTGAGGCAATAAATTGTTGCCATGCCATTTAGAGCTATGAGTGGACATTTGTGGCCAGGTTCATTTTGGGGACTCCTGTGTACACCAGGTGTATCCTGTGATTTCTTGACTCGTTGAGTGCTGATGGAGGTGATTAGTTGGCTTGGCGACCAAGACGGAGGTTGTACATGTGCTCAGAAAGGTAGGAGAGTACTGGGGAGAAAAGGGGGAGGAGGGGAGAGTGGATATACCGAGGAGGAGGTGGGCCTAGGTTGTCCGGGACGACTTATGTACAGTCTGTTCGTGCTGTGGTGCATGACTGCAAACCGAGAGAGCGAAGTAGAGCAGAGGAGGCAAAGAGGGACATGGAGGGCGTGTGAATGGCAGAGATATGAGCAAATATTTCTCAAATTTCATATCTCGTTTTGTTGGTTTCCTGTGCTGCCGGAGTGGACCTCTTCTGGAAGGACTACCGACAAGCATCCATACTAGATCCGAACCAGGCTGTTCATCAATTCCAGATGAGTCATATAAGCATACATTTATGCGACGTCTGCATATATATATATATGAGTAGCGTTTAATTGAAAATTAAATGAGAAAATAGACTGGAAACACAAAGAAAACATAGCAACTGGCTGCAGAACTGGGACGTCTGCGCTAGTTTGTATTCGCTCACCCGGTCTAATGAAACAGAATACTGGCTCATTTTTGTGGTACTTAAAAGTGAAACACTCGTTCGATTCCATCTGGTCATGAAGGATATAGGCATGCAAGCATCCTTTGGCGTCTGTGTCTATACATGTAGATATTCCTCGATGTATGTCTGCTCCTTTACAGGTTTGAGTCATCACTTCACATGGCCCCTTGAAACGCATTGAGTCAACATGGCCACGGAGTTCTGGCCAATGCCGGATGAAGTGCCGCAACTGCTCATTCTCGTAGCCGGACATCTTGTCCGCCTTACAATGAGGTACCTCGACGACTATCTGGGGCCCCGAAACGGCAACAGTACAGGACAACTTCATGTACAAATTTCCACATCGGAGACAGCCAACATATTCGAGCTTGGCAATGCCACGAGACACTCTGTTACAGCTTTCGAGACTAACGGTACATCTTCCTTTTTCCTTTAAGGCAATGATGGACTGGAAATTGAATTTTCCCACAATTCATATAGCCTGGCTTCCCAAAATATATTGCAGTTTTGACCTCGACCAGCACTTCGTCACTGAATGGTCTCTGATCACGACTGTCAGATGCTGAGCTAACATAAAAGTTGTACACTGATGAATTCCAAAATCCATCAAAATGGCCTCCATCGCTGTTATTTTTGATATAGCCCCAACATACCCATCTTATATGAAGCAAAACTGGGTTTTCAAGAATTCCTTAGTGACATATTGTGACATGACTTTCCATTTCGAAGGAAAAGTTGGTTGGAAGGAAAGCGAAGGAGGATTGCCGCCTAGGAAAGACTGTCGAATTACACAGTTGCGTGAGTAATACGTCAATTAAACAAAGAAAGGCTCTTATGCCATCGTGCACAACACAAAGCTCGATTCATCTTCGAATCCCGACCCTTCGGAAACACAAATCATGCATTCCGTCACCGGTTTACGTGTCGAGCTGGCTTCATTTTTGTGTTTAGGTATGTGATACAGCAAATTCTAAGTCGATCTGACCAGAATACGACTTGGGATTCCTCTTATTCTGCTGTAGTTTGAGTTTACTGGAATTTCCCCTCTATTACGATGACAACGTGGCGAGTTTGCGCTCCTCATGCCAATGGACAAACAACATCAGAACCCTAACTCATTCTTGTTTTGATGCGAGCTTACAAAAATTGAGAAAAACTAACTAAAAAAAAAATATATATATATATATGAGCGAATAATTACTTTCGGAAGGCATTGAACAATTTGGTTAAATTATTTTCACTTCGAGATACGCATGTGTATATTTAAGTGTGCTCGGGTATGAAAAATTCTTAACCTTGACCTAGAACTGATGTTATGCTCTCTCCTAATTACTCCGTGCCATCTTTCAGGTATTTTACCTAACCACACACACAATTACACACATTAACACGAGCAAATATATATATATATATATATATATACAAATAGAGAGAGAACTAGATATATAGATATACAAACACAAAGCATTCTCTACCTCCAGAAAAAAATGTTGTGCCTATATGTGAGCTGGTTAGTTTTATTTGCCTGTTTTAAGCTTGAAATAGTTTTAAGAATGAGTTCCAGCTTTGATAATGTCTGTCAAGTGTCGTGCCCTGAGTAATCTTAATTTTAAATTGTTCGAATGGAGAAAGGTGTTTCTGCAGCAACAGGGTCTGTGTAAAATAAAACCGGCAGTAGGCTTTTGGTGAGATAAGCCCTCAAAAACACGCGATTAACGACTATCAAATGAAGTTACACGATCGGATTCATGCAGAGCTCCAGGACTCGCTCATCGGTCTAGGAGCTACTATAAAGAATATAAATGCGATTTTTCGTTTTATAATTAAGCTTTAGAGACTACCAGTATATCATATATATACATATATTAGATGTATTAACCTTATTTCGTTTAAAGTTATGAAGCACTGGTAGCTGGATTTTTACACAATCATATGATTAGACTTCATGTACAAATTCCATTTCACTTAAAAGTAATTCCCACTTCAGGATGAACGGCAGTTTCGTTTCGTATGAAAGTTTATGATAGCGAGATTCGTTATATAGGGGTTGTTTGACCTTGTTTTCGCAACATGGTCATATTGGTAGGAAGACTTAGAGGAATGCACCTAGTCCGGACTCCATTGTATGTATGATCATTTCCAAAATTGAACCGTGGACGTGGTACATTTTCAAACGTTTCGCCGGCATCGTATTTGGCATCGTCAGTGAGCAACGCCATCCTAAACCCCATACAACAAATCTCTTTGACGAGTTGCTGTATGGTGCTAAGGATGGCGATACTCACTGACGATGCCGGCGAAACGTTTGG